GAGAGAGAGAGGTCCTCTTCACAAGCATCAACCACAACAAAAGCATGGAGTACCAACGTGATTTCATAGCTAAATTATCCTACTCTGCAGCCATGGCAGTCAGCAACACGAGCATCATTATCGTTTTTAGTATGATCTTCTTCGCGGGTCATCTCTTTTTCAAGCACCACCACCATGGCCACCACCTTCCTGCCTTAATCCACCACCGCAACAAGTGCCAAACCCTATACTGCTCGATATGCCTCCACGATGTAGCCGGAGGCGAGAGTTACAGGAAACTGCCCAAGTGCCACCACTGCTTCCACGTTGACTGCATCGACGCCTGGTTTCAATCCAATTCGACATGCCCATTATGCAGAAGCCAAATACCTCATCTTCCTCAGCAGAAACAGGGCAGTTTTTCCTCTTATTTGCCCTCGCTTTCTCTCAATTTTCTCAGGAGAATGGGTGAGTCTCCGAATTATGAGCTTATTTTCCCCGATATTTTTTTTTTCCTTTGAATAAATATTGAGTCTAACGATGATACCACATCAAAATGACAGAGATCACCAACTAATTATAAAATAACAAATAGAATTAGTTATTAGTAGTTAGTAAAACAATAGAGTCCACTAAGTTTACTTGCGATTCTATCATTAGTTTGTGACACCACATCATCAATGTCTGTGGTGTCACCGTTACGTCCAATATTTTTTTTCTTTCTTAGAGGTGTTCTTTTCATTTTTCAATGTTTTTTTTTAAAAAATTTTATCATGTACCTTATGCATCCACTTGTTATTTTAATTTTTAATTCAAATGTAAATAATCTTTTTTTGTAGAATAGTTCCTAAATCCCAACATTGACAACAATTAACATTTCACTTACAATATCAATCACATCATAACCAAATCAAACAACAACAACAACAACGCAATTCTCAGATTAAAAATTCATAAATTTTACTAACAAGTGTATAGATATATACACATATAAACCTATAAATAGGATGGATTTATACAAAANTTTCTCAGGAGAATGGGTGAGTCTCCGAATTATGAGCTTATTTTCCCCGATATTTTCTTTTTCCTTTGAATAAATATTGAGTCTAACGATGATACCACATCAAAATGACAGAGATCATCAACTAATTATAAAATAACAAATATAATTTGTGAACTCCACTATTCTAACGTGAGGTAGTTATTAGTAGTTAGTAAAACAATAGAGTCCACTAAGTTTACTTGCGATTCTATCATTAGTTTGTTACACCACATCATCAATGTCTGTGGTGTCACCGTTACGTCCAATATTTCTTTTCTTTCTTAGAGGTGTTCTTTTCATTTTTCAATGTTTTTCTTAAAAAATTTTTATCATGTTCCTTATGCATCCACTTGTTATTTTAATTTTTAATTCAAATGTAAATAATCTTTTTTTGTAGAATAGTTCCTAAATCCCAACATTGACAACAATTAACATTTCACTTACAATATCAATCACATCATAACCAAATCAAACAACAACAACAACAACAACGCAATACTCAGATTAAAAATTCATAAATTTTACTAATAAGTGTATAGATATATACACATATAAACCTATAAATAGGATGGATTTATACAAAATAAACGCTACTTTTTGCTTGTTTGCTTTTTATTTAAAAAAAATATAAAGTGAAAAAAAATACTTTAAAAAAAATTACCAAATGGTGTCATTTTCGCCATATTTTACCCAAATTAGAGCTCTGATCTCAAGTTCCTCTATGCCCAAGGGCGGAGCCAGAAATCTTCTCTAATGGGGGCAACAATGGTCAAAATTTTAAATGTTCACAAAAATATATTTTTATTAATAGAACGTCAATTAAAAGTACAACTCATATACATGAGCGATATAGAAAAAGAGCCAACAAAAAGAAATAAATAGATCTTTAGACATTACATAAGTTGTTACAAAGTCCTAATCTATCTAGTTGTCACACCCTAACTAACTTGGATGCACAATGACAGATTTTGGTGGCACCTTGCACTAAAGCACGTCATGAGATGAAATCAAGGTGATGCGACTAAATGGTTCGACAAATTTGTGTTGACTATAGTAGCATAAGACCATTCGATTGAGCATGACAACACGTAGTTGACTCAATTAAGGCAATGTTGGTGCATGACTTCGAATTGCATGGCATAGGCTTGACCCAACATACAAACTTGTTCGTGGGTAAGGTTGGCTGCTGAATTATAGGCATATGGCTGCTCAATACATCTGACCAAGATGGCGTAGGTAGTTGTAGACATTCTTAGCCACAATCTGGTCTAGGTGCATGCAGTTAGAGTGGTTCCACATCACATGTTGAAAGGTGGAATTGTGTGGCAAGTGTCTCGCAGAAATGCAACCTTGCTGACCAAGTCTGCTAGGGAATAGACAGATTATTATAACAACCTCTTGATAGATGAGAGTGTCATATGTCATGTTCTTACATAAATAGAGGTGCCTGGACAATCTGAAGAGGCAACGAGTTCTTGCTTAGAGTTGAGTTTCCTTATAATTGTAGAGAGCTTTAGTATAAGATTTGAGAATGTTTTTCTAGTAAATTCGTGTGTTGTCCTTGTGTGAGTTTGTACGGCCCTATTTTCGAGTTTGTGTGGCTGGTTGCAATGAAAAACAAGTAGTACCCTGTGACACTAGTCATGATACTTGAACAACATGAGCAATGTATGGCGCAGCTAAGTAACATAAACCCATTTTTACTGAAATCAATATTTGAAAATGCATAAATTTGCAAGTCTACTTGGTTGGTGAAATTCCTACTTTATGCAATGTCATGTTGTTAGTTCAAACTCTCTCACCAAATCCCCTCCCCTTTTTCCTGTGATAGTGTGAATCATCGTTACATAGCCAAAAAAAAAAAAAACTGAAAACTACTCATAATGACAGTTTATTGACAAATAATTATTTCTGGAATCACTTTCTTATTTTTCATATGGCTATTTCAACTATGTGATACCTATCATTACTTGCTTTGCAGGACTTGACTATGCCGTCCTTGAAATTTTGGCTGAAGACAGTGGAAGAAATTTGACAGTCTTTTAATTGAAATTTCTAGCGGTATTTTTAGTCTACAATCAAGCTATATTGCATGACTGCGTATATCATAATTGGGAATGTATGACTGCAAATTTTGTTACTTCAAAAATTTTATGATTATTGCAGTGTAGTTTACTATAAGTTCTTGGATTTAATTATGCACCAAGTAATAAAATTGGACATCATTGCTTGAAGAATAGTTAATGATTGGGTAATCTTAGTTTAAGGAAGAAATAAATATTATGTTGACAAGAATCGGCATTTATTTGAGGTTTTTTGTTTATTACGTAGTGTATTTAAGTACGGACAATTACTAGGTCATCTATATAATAGAACATAAACCTTCTGAAAATAGTCCCCTTTTTTGTACCAAAAAACATGGAAATCATACCGATACTTCCTTGTTTCCTGATTGTAAAATAACAATAAAATCACCATCAATAAACAAGAAGAAAATAGATTTACATCTGGTACTCTCTCATTATATACAATAGGAATGCAAAAGGTAATGAAGACAATTGTGCATATATCCGAACGTAAAATAAATTAATGTGGACAAAAGAATAGGAAAAGGAAAAAAATACCTTTCATCAAAAAGCTGTTCTTATCTTATCAATGAAACCAAACGAGGAAAAATGCACTCACTATAAAGTTACTCTACATTTTAAGACAGCCTTCCAAGCCTATATATGTAAGCAGAGTAATGCTAGATCTGACTTAAAACAATGACCTGTTGATATGGCTGTTGAGATGTATATGCCACATCATCTAGTTTCCCTTTGGGTTGATGCGAGGAGTAAGGCTGCATATGTGGAATTTGGCGATGTCATTACTTTTGATGATGTGGCATATACATGTCAGCAACCATGTCATCAAGTTGTTGTTTTTAAATCAGATTTTTAAATATATCTAACATTACTCGTATAAGTATACAGGCCCCACACGCTTCCCTTTCATCGATGTATTCAAATATCATTTTCTGCCCCATGGGAAGCAACAACAGCCCTGGAGAAAGAAGAGTGAGGTCAACTAAGTTGACAAAATTAATGGAGTAAATGAAGCACAAATACAGGGTCTTGGCAGATGTTGAAAGTTGCCAAATAAATGACCAAGTTTATAAGCAAAGCAAAAGCATAGACAAGACGCGAAGGAAAAAATATGAAGTTTTACTAGAAGGGATGTGCATACCTTTGAATTGTCAGTTTCATAACGCTTCTGACCGTTGGAATAAGAAGTTTCAGTTGGCATGATAGGTACCTTCGTTCCTGCACCAACCTGTCTCTCCTCTCGCACTCTATTAAAAATGTGAGTGAACCCTTCAGCTGATGCAGGGTCACTCTCATTCCAATCACCGAATTTTGGAACAGCAGGGCTGCGATCAGGCTGCCATATTTGAATTCATGTCATACTCCTCAAAAATGAAGCATAGCAGATTTGTAAAGTGGGGGAGTAATGTGCAAGTGTGTGTAAGCATTTGTGCTAAGTTCAGAACATAGGTAAAGTGATATAGGAGGAAAAAACTCACAGTTTCATCACCGCGAGTAACGGATCTCAATCGGGATCTTCCAGGAGTAGAGGGAGCCAGGCCATGACTACCATCGGATGAACCCTTTCTCTCCCACGAGGGAGAAGAAACTCCAATGCCTTTGCCTCCAACCCTTCCCTGGTGATGTGGGTGTAATGGTGAGTGTTCAATGCTACGATCAGACCCCCCACCTTGCCGTGTGACTCTCCTAGGGGTATCGCCAGCGGTTGTGCCACCATGACAATGATGAGGTGAGTCAACATTAGCTCTTCGGCCTACAGTGTCATGACGCACTGGAGAATCAGTTGGCCTCCTCAGATCACCTTCGTCCCGGCTTAGGCGGCGCTCATCCTTTGGTCTTAATGCATCTGGGCCCTTTGGTGCCTCTGATTCTGACGTACTGCTTCCAGATCTTGCACCACCATACTGTTGACGAGATGAGTCAATTGCAGCATTCTGAGGCACAGTGTCAGGATGCAAAGGAGACCCACTCAATCCCCTTAGCTCACCATCTTCTCGGCTTGTGTGACGCTTGTGCTTTGACCTTATCGCCCCTGGTCCCTTTTGGCCCTTTAGTTCAGCCTCCTGATGCGAATGATCAGAAAACCTATCAGCATTATCTTGAGGATCATTTGGATTCATGTTACCACCTTTTCTGCCCTTCCTTGCATTATCAAAATAGGCAGTATAAGGGATATTTTCTTCACTTTCCCAGTTGCCAAATTTCGGTACTTGTGGGTGCTGATGCAAGAAGAAAGGACCAAGTTTATCAACACAGGCACAACAAACACAGACAACCATCAGATAAGCATACAAAGCACTGTCCATTAAATCAAAACGCAAGCTATGGTCTGTCTGATGTCACAAATAAGTAAATCCACAAAATTTCTCAAACTCCCAATTGTGTTGTTAAAATTTGAAGAATTTTTCCATTTTCCTGAGTCTACCTTCAAAGCTTTTTCCCCTAGATATGATAGGACATTATCCAACTGCACTAAGAAAGCATATAATGACATTATTTTGCAGCCTTCTATCATCAATATTTTTTTGTTTACTTTACATACACATCCAAGCATTTCAACATTTTTTTTTTTTTGGTAAGTAAGCATTTCTACATTAAAGATGTTTTATATCCTTCAATTTTGTAAATAATGAAAAATATAGGAGAAAAAAGTTGAGATACCCTTTAAAACTTCCCCGGCCAAAAAATCATCAACCAAATCTTTCCAGACTCCATAGCCACATCCATACAAACTAAAGCCTTGCCAATCTCTAGTCCATGACAACTATGCATCTTATCTATCTCTCACATAACTTGTGGATCAAAAAGCACAAGAAATGGCTGTAAACTTGGGAATGACTGACCTCTAATGAAACAGTGACTTCAGAATGTTTACAGCACTCACCGACAGTACCAAATATCTAGCTTCGGCTGAGGATTACTTAAATAAGCTTCAGATGTAGTTAGTTCGAGAACTGTGACTCACCCAGATTGGAAGTGTGATTTACAATCCCATTTCCGCCCCTTACTGAAACAGCATCCTTGGATTCTGAATACAAACTTCCACTCAAAATCAATTTTTCCTTTGTGTCCAGCTCCCTCCGAATTCCAACACCCCCCCCCCCCCTTTTTTTTTTTTTGAAACAGGATACAAAGAATTAGAGCAAAAGATCGCTGATCTTCTGTTTCGAAGTTGGAAAACCCTAAACACTCATCCCAAGGGAATAATCAACACACCACCTTCTGACATAAAAGGTCTATAACGAGGTTTAGAAGACATCTCCACTCTATGAGCATATGCCGGCCATCAATTGGCAGAAACTTTGCAACAAGCAGATTGGATCAACACCTATCTCACCAATATCAACTTTCTAAGGAATCAGAAATGTAAATAGAGGAAAAATACATAAATCCAGAAAACAACCAAAAAAAAACATTGAATTCTCTAAACATTTCTCCTCAGTTTTAACACCTATACTAGCACATCATATTGCTTATCTGGTACCCTTCAAAACAAAACGACTAGGTGATTTTGCCTAGTGTATGCATTACGTAAGAACATATACTGTAGCAAACACATCTATAACAACTACCTGGAATCAAAAATTGTTCGGGATGTGTTAATCATATAACAATTTGTCAAGAAAATGATTTAGCAAGGATTTCAGAAGTACATAAGAGAGTATCTAAGAGTTCATATTAATTGCGGTAAAAAGAAGGGCTTGGGTACTAGTGAATGTTAGGAAGAAAAAAATACAGAATCCAGGTAGTTATCCCAAAAGTACTTGGACTATATTTGCAATTATTCACTGTGGATCACTGAAGTACATGCAGTGAAACTGGATTGCATGCTTCAATGAATGGTAGCACTGGCGCATAATTCAGATTACAGACCTTCTTAATAATCAATAGAAAATGTAGTCACACTTACTACAGTTTCCCTATCATCCATCCACAAATAGCATCAACAGGTCCGCGGGATTGTTCTTCTACTATGCAGAGAAATTCAGCACCAACTAATATGCATGGATCAGCTCTGCACAAAGCTCATGGCGCGACCACCCAATAACCATAATGAACAACAACACATTACCAACAATTTTTAACCAGCTTCAACATCCATATATATGAGCACTATTAGAGGTCTCCTTTTGACCCTTAGCTTACTATCAACTATTCTAACATTGCCCAGGCATCTCAGATCAGATGTAAACATCATGAAGTTCAAAACTTTATATGCTTATCCACTAAATGAGAAAGAGGTAAAAATGGACTACCACAGTCAATCAGTCTAAAAGTCGATGTTAGAGTACTAAAATAAGATTTACTTATCACAAAGCAATGAGTTTTTGTTGCATAAATATAGAAATGTATGAATTGATATACAATATAATTTTATATTCAATACCCAATTATTTATAGCATGTCCTAGTCATGCTCCAGCCCTACTTTTTCAAGGTTTAGCATGTCAATGTTTCCATGTCGTAGTGCATCCGTGTCCCATGTCCATCTATATGATACATAGTAGAGACTGATGAAAGCAAATATATCATGCGCATCGCCCTCCGTCTGTGAATGGATGATTAGCTTTAACAGCATTCACTCTCATTATGCATGTCAATCCTCTGATGTATGTCCTGAATCAAAAACCATGAAGCTTTGCAAGCAATTTTATAGAAAAACCTCTAATTAAAGAATTATGTGGATGAAATGTGTGTTAAGGGTTGATTAAATACCATCTCTATAATTGACTTAGATGAATCATGACAAAAAATGAATATTAAAATGCTAAAATATATTGAGAAGTGAGAACGGTCAAGGGTTAACTGGACACAACTCAAATTTACTTCACCCACAATATCAGACCAAAATATAGTATGATATTCCAAGAGTAGGTTCACGAAAGAAAAATTATAAAATTATGGTAAGAGACGTAGTGTTAGCTGATTGATAACTTGAACAGCACTCCAAAACTCAATGCTAAGAAATATACTAGAAGCAAAAACTGCATCAGTCCAATGTAATTGACACTAGGCCTGGCAATCATGCTGGGGTCATTTCAATTCGTGTCAAGTCTTAGTGGGTTTGTGTCAAAAATTACTTCACCGGTATACGACTCGTTTATTAAATGGATGCAACTTGCAAAAGCGAACACCATTCGTTTATTAAACGAGTTACACAACTCGACCCCTATTTTTTTTTTTTTTTAGGAGGGGAAATTCTTGACCCCTATTACTTGCTAATTCTATAACAAAAAAAAATTCTCAATTAAAAGCTCTAATTTTGAAACAAATTGCGCCATCAATTAAACAAGTAACTGGATGATAAATAGGTAATCGGGGTGATAAACGAATAATTGAGTGATATATCAATTTATTAAACAGGTTAAGGTTCTCCACCCAAACACGACTCATTTATTATGCAAGTTATGCGGGTCTATCCTTTTACCACTCAAACCCATTAAAATCAAACCTAAACCCGCTAATTTCATGTCTATTCATGTTAGGTAACCAGGTTGTCTTTACTTGAGAGTAATGATATATAAGAGGTTAAATTCACAAATAGACATGACCAAGAAAGACCTCAAATATATCTGTGAACAAAAATTATCATTTAACAGTACATATGTCGTGAAAAAGTAACTTTTCTTACTCGGTGAACAATGATTTGATAAGGGGCAGAGTTTCACTTCACCAAAATGAAACACGAAAGACCGACTTCATGATTAGAGTTGGAATCCCAAGGCATTGGATTTTAATGGGTCTTACTGGTCTGGGCTTACATATTTTTATAAAAGAACTGCAGCTCAATGGTCGAGGCCATTGTATGAATGTTAATAGCCTCTTTCTAGCAAGCAAATAGCATGGTTATTTGACTAATTTTGCCTAATTAATAACTAAAATTCCCTAAAAGCACAACATTTCGACATTAAGATAAGGGTTCCATTGAAACTAGCCATAACTCTCCAATACACACAAAAAGAAATTTCAACCATCACATTAACGATATTGGCACTACAAATATTCAGAATTGAGTTGTAGCAATATAATGCTACTAGTGATATCATATCATCCCAATGCTGAATTGGTCACATTTCCCGACTAACTGAACTTGGGGCCTGAATAGGCTGTCCAGCATCGCTGTGTGTTGCAAGACTAATTTTCTCACTATTGTTCAGAAGAGGATGTGGAAAGACGTGGATAGACTTGGCGGAAGTCCTGGAAGAAAATTTGGGAGCATAACAGTATCTAATATGTTAGTATTATACTATATATATCCACCTATGAATCACTCACTAATACACAATTAGTCTTTGTAAGACAGATTACCTTCAAATTGAAGATAACCTTACTCAGTCCAGGACCACCCACCCTGTTGCCATTTGTCAACCTAGCTGGGATAAAGAAGTAGGATGTCCACTATCCAGCATATATGCCTAAAGCTGACATGTCTGAGTAATGGATAAGAAGCCTCTCCTATCTTTCACCAACCAGCAAATCAAGCTTTAGCTTCAAGTCAATTTTTAAATGAGGCCATTTCAAGGTATGCTGCTCATATGTATAGAAAGATATGCTGTACATAAATGCTGCTCAGCATGGTCATAGAACTAGCTTCTGATATTAATTGCACAGCAGTTGTTTTCTTTTATCACCTATAAATAATTTGATACAACTCACAAACTCTAGATTGTGTGAAAACAATTATTTTTCCAGAAAGTGAGAGTGATTTGAATATAATCTATTCACAGCATATAATAAAATCAATAACAAAGAACTTCGTCTCTTAATAGACACCAAAAGAAAGGTACAGAAAACCAAAAAACATGAAATTCACTAGTGCTAAAACAGTTGCTCTACTCTATACTTATCTTTCTCCTCAAACATGAAAAAGACTACAACTATTCAACACAAGGGCATCATCCGGCTTCAGGCCACCTATTTTGATTTCTACACAATTCATGCAAAAACAGAAGACAAAATAGTCTGCAATCACGAACACATACACATAATCCAATAGGTTCAACCCCATGTTACCAAGATAGAAATCATTTGTCAAATTTGTCAATAATATTATTATATACTAGCCAAATTTGAAAGAATTAGCCAATTAGATTCCAATTATGAATATAATTATGGAACCAATCAGAAATGTTGAACCCAAACTTCCTCCTCCCTTTCTAAGGAAAAAGGAAAATTCCACAAAATTATCATATAAACACCCAGTTCTGCAAAGATCAAAGACTGCAATCAAATTCAATTCTTTCTGCTGCTATGAGAGAGATGTAAAAGATATTAAAACCATCTAATGTCTGAACCCAACCCCAAAATCCATCCAGAAATTAATAATGAATCCAGAAAAAGAAAACCCAATTCACCAAATAAGCTCAACATATATAAATTTATGATACTGAAAGAGAAAAGCAAGCATAACATATGATTCAAGCATAATATATGATTCAAGCATAACATAGGAAACCATCACAAAGAACATAGATTTATTTTCTAGTATAGATTTCTTTTCTAGTAGATCTAGAAAACTCAGACCCATCTTTGCATTTCAATGGATTCAAACAAAAAATTTGCATTTTGAAAAGCCCATAAACGATGAAGCTGGCGAGTTCCAATCAAAGATCGATCAAGAAGAACTAGAAACTCACTGCCATTATTAGTCTTCAAGAAAAGCCTTGAACAAAACCCAGAAGTGCCACAGGGAAGAGCTTTCACTGGATTCAAGATTTTCCTTCCCAAATCAAATGTACAGTGCCAACAAAGACCCAACAGAGAGAGAGAGAGTGAAAGGTTAACCGGAGCCACAGGTGACGTTTGACTGACCTGACAGTTGTTCTTCGCTATCAGAAGACCACCTCTTCAATTCAATTGAGTCCCTGCACGTGCTGTTGCCGGTAAGTCTACTTGCTGTCTCTTAGGAAACAAACATGCTACAGCGTATTCCACTGTAAAAATACTTTCGTATATTCGCAGTTTAACGTTAATTAACTACTCCTGTAATGCTGGATATCCCTGAAAAATATTATTTTTCTGAGATTATTAAATAGAATGGAGAATTACACTTAGATTCTTGAAATTTGTCATTTAATCTCTCAGACCCTCTGACATTTAAAATATTACACACAAACCTACTAAAGTTTGTATGCATATAACACTTAGACATCTGCTATCAAATTTTTGTTAGTATATACATTAGTAAATTATATTCAAACCTCCTAAAATTTATAAACGTATAATATTTAAATTTCTCAAATTTAAAATATTATATTTAGACCAAAAATATTTCAATTAAAGATAGAATATTAAATATTTTAAATTTTATAACCAAAATTCATGTTCTATTTATATCGTTTATTGAAATAAAATCAAAAATAAAAACTAATTTTTTCTTAAAAATTTGTAATTAATATACAATTATACTATTATTGAAATAAAACTAAAAAATTAAGCAAGAGGTCTAAGTCGATGATAATAGAACACGAATTTTGGGAGCTTTTTGACCAAACTCAATCTCCCCATCAACTTTATTCTCAAGCCCAATTTATTTTAAACTTATTTCTCAAATTTAGTCTATTTTTAAAAAAGTCATTTGGAATGACGCCTTCATAAGTTAAACGTCATTTGAAGTGACGATTTCAAATTGAATTTTTTTTATAAAAATCGAAGATGGGTCTCGATTCTTTGATTGACGCTTATAACACAAAGTTGGGAATCTGCTAAGGGATGGGGAGGAAACGTAATTTGGAATGACGTTTTCTACCTAATAATTTTTTTAACACATGTTATGTTTGTCGTTTTGTTTAACATCATTCTGAATGACCCTTTTAAAGAAGTTATTAAAAATGACAATTTTAATAAAAGAATTTAAATTTGAAATCATCATTCTAAATGACGTTTTAAATCATGAAAGCGTCATTCCAAATGACATTTTTAAAAACAAACTTTGTTTGAGAAATAAATTTAAAACATACTAGATTTGGAAATAAAGTTGGTGGGGAGACTGGTTATGGTCAAAGCTCCGAATTTTGGTTGTAAAATTTATGTTCTATTATGTCATTTATAGAAATAAATTAAAAATAAAAATCTAATTTTTCTTAAAAAAATCATAATTAGTATATAATCATACTTTCTATTAAAATATAACTAAAAAATAAAACAAAAGGTCAAACTCTAATGATTACAATATATTCTAACTTTAATTAGAGTAATTTGGTAGTTTAATTTGATCATTTAAACGATTAAATTAAATTTCAATAGATAGTATAATTGTATAATAATTATATTTTTTAAGAAAAATTAGATTTTTATTTTTAATTTTATTTCAATAAATGTCATAATATGATGAATTTTAGTTATAAATTTTAAAATATTTTATATTTTATATTTGATTGAAGTATTTTTTATCTAAATATAACATTTTAAATTTGAAGAGTTTAAGTATTACACGCNATATTTTATATTTTATATTTGATTGAAGTATTTTTTATTTAAATATAACATTTTAAATTTGAAGAGTCTAAGTATTACACGCCTACAAATTTCAGGGAGTCTGGATATAATTTACTAACGGATATATTAACAGACATAACGGTAATAATTTAAGTGTTACATGCATACAAATTTTAGGGATTTGTGTGTAATATTTTAAATGTAAAAGAATTTAAGTAATTAAACGACAAACGATTTGAATATAATTCTCCCTAAATAGAATTATTAAACATGCCGATTATCATTATAAACTATGCAATGTTTTGGCTGCCATTTCTAAGATGGATGCGTGCTTCTCTCTTCTAAAGTGCACTTTTTTTTCTTTATTCTTTTTTTTGTGTCAACTGGCAGGGGTTCGAACCAGTTTATAAGTAGTTCAAGTAATTCTTTCTCCGATCCACAAGATAGGTCATTCACGTTAAAATTAAGATATTCATGATAAATGAAAAATAAATTAGGATATTCATGATAAATAAATTTTTTATAATTTGATCCCTAAAAATTGTCAAAATTCAAATTCTTGACATCTAAGTTTACACTCATTTATGTTATGACTTGAAGTCCCTTTTGTAGTTTCAAGGTGTAATTCTAACCAACCTTTTAACTTTCAATTGACACCTCACCCTGTCGTTAAAAAAAAAAATTGCCATTCCTCCCTTAAACATTTCCTACTCATAGTCAAAATAGAGAAATATTATGTTGTCAAAATCGAAATCGAAATAATTTATCTCAAAAGTATTTACACCATGTATTGAGTAAAAACGTTAATTTTTTGGGAACCACAAAATGATATGTGTGATGCACACACATTTAATTTTAGATTTTGATTTGGGCATAATAGCATTGCTCGTCAAATTATATCTTAAATTTAGATTTGGGTAAAAAAAAATAGTTAATAGCACTTTTGATCCCTAAAGTATGTATTTTTTGTTAGTGTAGTTCTCAATGTATCAATTTAATCCCTAAAGTATTCAATTTGTGTCATTTTGCTCCCCACATACACGTGATAACGACTAAAAAATGACATGTGGTCATTTTCGTTAAAAAATTTCACGTCATATAGGGATCAAAATAATACGAATTGAATATTTTAATAACCAAATTGACAAAATTAATACATTGAGAACTAAACTGCTAAAAAATGCATAATTTAAGGACCAAAAATGTTATTAACCCAAAAAAAAGTAAAAAGAAGTTCATTGCTTTTCTCAAACTCATACCAAATAAATAAGAGATTTAAATTTTTACTCAATTTTAGGATTCAAATATCAAAACCCTATGTCACCCTTCATTAAATTTGGGTTTATACCCATTTAAATTTAAGTTTGTTTTATTTTAAATTTGAATTTATTCATTAGAGTGTTTTTTGTATTAAATTAAATTTTTTATTCAAATTTTGATTTAAATTTAAGTAAAAATTTAACTCAACATTAGAGATGACCTTACATTTTCACTCGAAGTAATTGAATTGTAGATCATATTAATTCAAGTGTCAAATTCATTATTTTTAAGGGATTTCATCATTCATGCATAATGGGATAATCTTTTATTAAGTAAAATTAAATGAAAGTGTAATGTAAACGATTTGATATTTTCAAAAAAACTTGATATATAATTAGCTTGAAGAATTATAATTAAAGTTGGGTAATCGGGGGGTAATTTTGTATAGGAGGCAATGCCAGTTCACCAACCTCAAATGACATTAACAGTTTAGGTTTAACTGTTGTTTTGATTAGAAAATGAAAAATAATATGATTTGCTAGCATAAATAGAAAATAAGTCGGATTAATGGTATATGCTATTAACTTGATTATAACATATTAAATATATTTGATTGATAGTGTTGAAGAAAAAAAA